AGTCAATGCTCTTCAATTAAATGAATTGAGCGCTCTACGAAATAAGTTCTACCCAGAATACAAGTAAGTCTCATTGTTGTGTATGCACATTTGATCATACACCTATGTATGGAAATATATAGTAAAATATATATAATAATAAAATGAGGAGGAGGAGGGAATTCAAGAATGAGGAAGGAAAATAATAAAATTGTGGAGGAGGGAATAAAAAATTGAAAGAAAACATTAAAAAAATGAGGAGGAGGGAATTCAACAATGAGGAAGGAAAATAATAAAATTGTAAAGGAGGGAATAAAAAATTAAGGAGGGAAACGTAGTAAAAAAAGATAGTTTGCTTTCTTTGACTACTTTTATAGATTCCTTTCAAATCCCTGAGTATTTGACTCTTTTTGTCATTGGTTTTTAATAAAGTTTGTTAAAACGGTATCTCGTGCCTAATTTTATTGCCAGCAACTATCAGTCGCGTGTTTAATCAATTGATCCTTGTTAAGTTATTAATTGTTTTTCTAATAATACGTCAAGATGCTCCCTTGAGGTTTTTCCTGTAGAGCAAATTTGTATTCATCTTTGGGCTTGCGAACTTGCATAATTAACTGACTAACGGTGCGTGAAATTGCAAGACTTTAATAGTTTTTCATTTCCTCGAGATCGAACGGAGAAAATGGTGTAGTAATAGTCAGACAAAATTGAAATAGAGAGTTTTCAGCTCCACTTTGTGTATATGCATGTGTGTGCGTTTTGTTTATATAAAACCGATATTCAGCGCTAAATAAGAAGACATAAGCTAAATTGAAATAAAGACTTTTCAGATCCACTTTGTGTATGTGTTTTGTTTAAACATGTTTATCCGATTTTTAACGCTAAATAAGATATAGTAAGCCGTTTTTCGCGCTGCTAGGTGATCGCTTCTGTTATTCCTACTTTTCTTTTGTTAGACGGTCCGACAAACCGGGCTCAAGTTTCTTAACGGGTAAGCCTAGGCAAGACAACGGGGCCTTTTGTATAAGGAAGACCTTCATTAGATATGGTAGCCTGCAGTGTAGGCGTATTTTGGGTGGGCGAAAGCTTGTTTGTATCCCTACGATGAAGCCGCCATCTTTTATTTCATGACAGAGGAAGATTGGGGAGAGTAGAAATAGTAATCCTTAGGGTAGGTCCATTTCCTCCTCTCTTCGGTAGTTTCAACATGGCGCTTTCGCAATTAAAACCATTCGCGCGCCCGATGATAGATATGGAAGAAGATAGTTATGCGCATTAATCAAAGGGAAGACAGGGGAAGACACCAACGAGGCTTAATTCGCAACACAGTACACTACTGTGATTGATTCGAAATTTTTATCCGTCTCTTCGATGAACACTTTGCACGCTATTTTGAAAGTCACAGACGCGAGACGTGACGTCAGACGTCATACTGGCAGGCGGACTGAACCACCACCCCCCCCCCCCCCCCCCCCCCT